ATAGTATTAACACTTTTAAAACATAGCAAATATTTTGAAAACCTCTTCCAAGCAATGGCATCGATATTAATATCAATGAGCCATATTTGTGTTGAAAGAAGAGAAAAAAAAACAAAGAGGCACGCAATTTTTGGTTTTAACCCATTTGTACATAAATCTTTCAGAGTTAAATACATCTAATTTTAAGCGTTTGGTTGCATGTACACCACACTGCTGCACAGTGAAAGCACAAAATATAAAAGAAAGTGCTTAAAAGTGCTTTGGAAATCATTAAATTTGACACGAAACCACCTTGATATTTATGAAACACACATATTATTTTCCTTCAGTGCGTTTATTTTTTTCATCAATTTAAATGAGAATAATCCATTCAGAGACTGTAAACATTTCAAATTCATGAGTTGAAAAACGCTGACTCCGCGAGTTCAAATATTAAAGCGAAACACAGCAGCGGAGCGGCGCCGGCGTGCTGCCGGCGTATAACGCGCATTGGCGCCTACAAACCTAAGGGGATACTTCAATCATTGCGCAAAACGTGAAGTATCCCCTTAGGTTTGTAGGCGCCAGAGCGCGTTCCGCGTTGGCAGCACGCCGCGCCGTGCCATGCACGGCGCCTCAAGCAACTATTTCACAACAAAAGTGTTGCATAGTATCATACAAAATTGAAGGCGCTCCAACATATTATAAAGAACAGACATTCTTTAAAAGTACAGAGCTTTCCTCGCAAAATAAATTACGATGCCACGGCACAAAAAGAGAGCGGAAGTCCAAAATGTTACTAAGTCCTAGCATCCGTATTTAATAACGTTTAGCATAATTTTTTTACTTTCATTAAAAAAAAAATGAGACTCGATTTAGACAGAAACATACTTGAGTATGCCGTCAAGCAGATTTTATTTTGAATCAAGAATAAAATTGCTGCATTAAAGCAGGTTTCTGCTTGATGCGTTTCAGGTACAACAAGATGGGATTTCCTTGAAAGATAATTAAGTCCTGTTGCACCAAAGGGGTGTACAGAGTTTTAGTGAATTTTTCCTCATGGAATTATTACCATTTTTACCAAAAATCTCAATTACATATTTTTCTCCATTGGACCAAACAAACAAACAAAAACCAAGTAAATGCTCATTCTAGAAGTTGAGGCACCCCTCTCTAATGAGGGCAATTCTTAGTTTTTTTTTTTTTTTTTTTTTTTTTTTTTTTTTTTTTATTTATTTATTTATATTCACCCCATTTAATTTTTTGGCTGCGCCGTTGAATGGAGTAGAGATTCGATTAAAGACGCGCGAACATTTCCATCTGACGCTATAAAATTGTAAAGTTCACAGAGATCATCTAAACCTACCCCAATTCACCCATACTTTTACACTATTTCTTTCGCCATAACTATCAAAAATGAAAAAATACCGATTTTAAAGGATAAGCATCCGCGGTTCTATCTTAGTCCAAGTCGCAGCAGTTTTTCTCGTACATTCATGTCTCCTCGTGTATGTACTGGTGCGTTGAGTCCTCGTTGTGGGCAGGCACGGAAGTGCATGTCATCTCGAATGCAGCTTGTTCTGTCTGCGTTTAATTCATCTCCTTCCCGGCTGTACCTCCTTTTACTTGTATGCACTTGCGATTGTTCCCTCTGCGCCTCCGTTTCATTGAATGAGGCCTCCGGCGGCCCGGCGCCGACTTGGACCGGTTGACCGGCTGCCGCTTGCACTTGTGACGTAAAAAAAGGGTGTTAACATCCGCACATTTGACGTGACGCCAGAGGTGAAACCCGTCGGAGTTACCTTTTTTTAGACAGCCAACACTAATTGGATTACATTTTGCAATAAAGAACTACTATCTCTGGCTCTTCCATAAAAGCACGTAGCTGCATACACTGGAAAAAAAGTCGCTTGGATCTAGAGTCCAGACTCTTGAAAACAATGACAAGAAAAAATACTCTTGAATCAATCGGGTTTTTGTTTGAATCAAAAGGGAATCCGCATAAACTAAGAGACTTGGTTCTCGATTTAAGCAAAAATCGGATTGAATCAAGAATATTTTGTCGATAAATTCTTGTCGATGTTTTTAAGAGTCTGGACTCTAGATCCAAGCATTTTTTTCTCCAGTTTAAGGAAATCAATGGCATATAAACACAGAGAACATGACGTTCAAAATAAATTCTGTCTTTAAAATTATAATTTTTAAATTCAAATTATCTTTGCGCCAGGAAGACAGAAACGAAGAAGATTAGACATGTTATCATCCACGGCCACAGCTTATCTTCTTATTTTAATTGTAGCTTTATTTTCGTGAGGCTATTATATAGTTCGTCTAGATTTTACTTTATTTCTGGCAAAGATAAAGTTGCATATATTTTTATATAGTTTTATGTATACATGTTGCAAGTAATGGATGGTCTGTGAAGGAAAGAAGTAAAAAGTGAGATTTTTTAGTCACAAATCAGTGAACTAAGTTTCTTTTTATGAGTCTCGGGGGCTCTCCCGTCGTTTTTGAGGCCCGCAGGACCCCAATACCAATGAATCTTTTAATTGTGAGTTCTCAGTGACCCAAATTACTAATTAGCGAGCCCTAATTCATTCGTAACATTAGTGGATTAATATTCCACTCAAATTGTTTCTCACTCATTCCGACCATTTCGCCTTCAATATCTAGGTAGGCAATGCAGGCGACTTGGTAGCAGTAATAGTTGCTCGCCGTATTTTGGCCACGATCAATCTGTTTGTCCACAGCTGTAGCGACTTAATACTTCACTCACATTGTTTCTCACTTGTTCCGATCAGTTCGCCTTCAATATCTCGACAGGCAATGGGAGGGGCTTAGGAGCAGTAATAGTTGTAGCCGCATTTCGGCTACGTTCACAACTTGGTTCACTCATAGCTGTAGTAGTTTAATACTTGAATCGCGTTTAGCAGAAAGGTTCCAAGCCTCATCAGCCATTGCTAAATTTAACTGGGCAATTTAATTTTTTACGAGAGAATTTTTGTGCAGATTCCGCGGAACATTTTAAGGAATTTGCTTCGCACTTTGCAGATAACTCACCGAAATTTGCACAAAAAGTCGCACAGCCCTTTTTCGTGTAAAAACTTAAATTGCCCAATTAAATTAGGCAATAGCCGATGCGGCTTGGTTCTTTTCTGCTTGACGCGGTCCACTTCTTGCCCATTGTTTCCTCTTGTCTAACACCAGTTCGTATCAGCTGATAACTATGGTCCTTAAAAAAGCCCACGGTGTTAAGCGATTAAACTCTGGCTGATTACTCATTGCCCCAGCCATAAACCCTCCGTAAAACTGTAGAATAGAAAAAAATCATAATTCCATAATTACCCCCGAAGTTAATCATCAATTTCATCACAAAAGCTCAAATCGTCCGGTCGGAGAAAAGTGAAAAATGGTCGTTTTCGTAATTTGTTTACGGCTCCGCTGCAATTTGCGCCGAGGAAAATTTCGTGCTTGTCACCACTCCTCGTGCGAACAGCCAAGCAGGAAGCTGAAGTTAATCGTCGAACCCTCCGACAACGCATCCGAGTTTCCCTCCAGTCAGGGGTTCAAATCCTCGCTCCTCTGACGTAAGCGCCTATCTCACTTTCCCCGTGAGCCCTTTTCTCCGTATGACACCATGCTTTCCAGGGCTCATGTTGAAATGTAGATACGTCCTTACGTTAGAAAGGCGAGGAAATTACCGTCATTTCAATGTGGAATCGGGAGGCGGGAAAACTCCGGGTAGAATCCGAAAAGCTATTAGCGAGAGATTACCGCTTATCTCGTAAATCATGATGCGACAAAGTATCGTTTACGGTTTAAGTGCGCTCGATGCTCATTAACCGGTTACTTGCAACGCAGCACTAGGCAGATTTTCTCACAGATCGATCGGTAGTTTAGCAAGTAACTGCCTCAACAAGTTTTGCTCAGACCTACATTGAGTCGCTTAGCTTTGATTCTAATGCAGTTATCTGTGCGAGCACCTGTCGCTGTACAACTCTGTGATCTCGATATTTACAATTGCATTACAATTCGTGTCGAAGAAGTCTCTGCAGTTTGCTCCTATCAACCCATATACTTTAAGGAAAACCGGTGTCTGTTCAGTCATCGTTGTCGCATTATTTGCATGTGAGATATTTTGAAGGCGAATGGAGCGCTTTTGTTGAAATTCCTTCTCAGAGTAGGATGGATGATAGTTTTTGCCTGTTTCGACGCAACGTATCTATTGAATATTTTTATTCAGATTTTTGTATCTACTACCCCGCCCGTTAAATGAATGATAATAGCCTCATTTTCATCTTTAAACTCTTCGACTGTCATATATTACACTGAAAAAAAAACACATTGGATCTAGAGTCCAGACTCTTGAAAACATTGACAAGAAAAAATACTCCTGATTCAATCAGATGTTTGCTTGAATCAAAACGAAATTCGCTTAAAATAAGAGGCTTGGTTCTTGATTTAAGCTAGATTCTGATTGAATCAAGAGTACTTTTTCTTGTCGATGTTTTTAAGAGTCTGGACTCTGGATCCAATGTGTTTTTTTCCAGTGTATCTTTGTAAAGAAAGGCTGGCGTGGTTTTAGAAGTTACTTAAAGCACACTTCGTAGGTATGATGACGGCAAGTTACGGTAACTCCTGTACATTATTTCACCTAAACTTGGGTTCTTTTCAATGCGCATTCTAACTTTTGAATTGATCGGGTCAGAAGTTTGCTCTCACCGGATTTCAACCACGGCTCTTTCGCCAACAAGTGAAACTCTGGTCAAAATTATAACTGAAAGCGCGATCGCCTTTCCAACTTTTATTTTTTTCAAATCATTACTATGACGCGACGACGCGACGTAATGATGGAACTACACATTTATAAACGTGTAAAAAGTCGATCAAGCGATTTTAAGATGAAATTCCTTTACTTTTCGAATGAAGATGGAATTTTATTTGATCACACAATTTCCTTTCATTTTAATGCAATTTTATGTAAAACACGATACTAACAACCGCCCTCTTGTGTGTTTCAGGTGAAGCATGTGTGGACAAGCCACTGAGCACCCTGTGGCGGAATTACCAAACCACCTCGAAACCGGACACCCAGATGAAAATCACCGTAACGCAGTCGGGACTGAAAGCTGTAACGAAAGAGCACGGACTCACGGAGTACTGGAGCCATCGGATCTCCTTCTGCACGGCCCCGACGACGCTGCCCAAAGTCTTCTGCTGGGTCTACCGCCACGAGGGTCGGAAGCTCAAGCCCGAGCTGCGGTGCCACGCCGTGCTCTGCTCCAAGGACTCGATCGCCCGTCGCATGGCCAGCGAGCTCCAGCGGAGACTAGTCCAAGCCCTCATCGAGTTCAAACGGGACAAGATCAGCCGGCAGAACGCCCGGCTCTCCCTCGCCAACTCGGTCTACGACAACCCCAGCTTACCACGAAGGAAGATCCTCCTGTCGACGGGGACCCACAACTACAAGCCCCCGCTCGAGCGGTCCAAGTCCGCGCCCAAGCTCATGGCCATCGAGGAGAACCTCGAAGAGGAGGAGGAACCGGCGACCAAGTGTGATAGATTACCTTTCCTCAGGCCGACCCCGCAGCTCAAGCCCTGCATCCGGCCCGACAGACATCTGAAAAGACACGCGACCGAAGGCAGGTTCGGCGCCAACAAACTGGGCGGCCTCCTCCAGGTCACCTTCAAGAATATCCCTGTGACCCGTGATAAGAGCCCCCGCAGTGTAAAAGCCGTCAGCGACCCCGGACCGGCCCGCAGTCGGAGCGATAGTGATAGTGAGAGTGTTAGTCCTGACAAGAGTGAACTTTCCAACGGGGAGTTGGATCGGATAGTTAACGAGAACGTAATCAAAATCCTCAGTGAGACTTCGGCGAAGAGCACGAAGGAGCCGACGATAGAGCGGATATCGGAGGAAGACGAAGGTGAGGGTGAGGTTGAGGAAGACGCTACTTCTGAGACCCTGACCGAAGTGGAGGAGAACCCCTTCGGTGCCGACGAACACGTGACTGTCCCTATCCCTGCGGACGAACTCACCGACTTCGATGAGGGGTCCGTCACGGACGAGGGAGAAACGGAAGAAGACTTCGAAAAGAGAATGAAAGAACTGAACAAGTGGAATAGGTTACTGCTCACCCAGCGCTCAAACTCAATCACGAGTGATATCTCGCTGAGCAGTCTCGAAGACTGCGGGAGCGATGCCGGGTGCGTCCTCGAGAGGCCAGACCATATGTTCTCTACCGAGGACTCCAGCAACTACGCCTCAGAGACGGAGTGGAGCGAAGCACCCGAAGAGTCGGGCTTAGAAAGCATCGGCTCGGATATCAGTTGCACCATGACTCAAAGAGTCCTTGGACCCCTTCGGGAAGAAGAACCGATCGTGGACAAGCCCCCTGTAGAGAAAGATCATAACTCTGAGACTGAAATGTCACACGTTTATGAAACGAGGAATGGAAAGGACATGCCGCCGCAGTTCGAGACGAGTCCCCCGACTTACCAAACCAACGAGTTGATAGACTATCGAACAGCTACCAGTCTCGAGGAGAACCCGCCGTCTTACGAAGAGGCGGTTCAACAGAGTATAACAGGCGCACCGACCAAGTTCAACAGCCTCGTGCGCGATAGGAAGAGGATGTTCGAGAGGGAGACCCAGAACGGGGACTGCGGGAAGCAGGGTGGAGGTTCTCAACGAGACGGGGAGATCAAGAGGAGCTTCTTCATCAACAACCGGCGGAAGATCTTCGAGCAGGTGGAAACTGGCGAGTTCAAGGGGTTCGCCGGTCTGGGGAACTTGAAGCGGAAGATGAGCGAAGAGTCCGCGAAGGGCGAGGATAAGAAGATCGACTCCTACCCGGACGAAGACTCGACACCGAGCTTGCAGAGCATCTCCAGCGGGTCCGACTCGTCCGTGCTCAAGTCGGGAGAGGCGAACATGAACGGTTATGATTTGCACTCGATCTCCTCCTCGGAGGACAGTGATGAGAGCGGTTTTGTCGAGTCCCTGACGGCCGACGATCCGCTCAACAAAAACGACGACAAGTCCAGGGATTTGCCCCATCACCAATTGATGAAGAGCTGCATCCTCACGTCCAAAACGAGATGTGTTGAAGTCTGAGATTGACGGAAGATTCACCTTTTCGTTGGGATTTTCTGCTACTCGAATTTAGCAATAATTCCAATTTGGTGGAGTTTGTTTGGTTAAGCAACCCAGCTTTCAACTGAACGAAGGCTCGAGACGTCAGAACGCTGTGTCTTTATGCTGTTTTCTCTTCCTTTATAATCCTCACACTCGCTACTCGTGTTCTCTGAAAAGTATGGCGGGTCAGGAAAACCGTATCCTTATTTTTAAGGCGCGGGGGATTTAGATGAAACTTTTGGTCTCCATTAAGGAAGGAGTAAACCTTCAGGAGTTCGCAATTACAAGGAGTAAGCCTGTCCTTTTGCGATGGGACTGCCCACTCTTCGAGAATTTGGCTCGTTGCCGAATATGGGACTTTCGGCTTTTATTCGCCTCCGAGCGGAATCAAAAGTACCTTTTTAATGTTATGACCTGAGTTTTCTTCAGCCGTTCTCAAGCAGAGTTTTTAGAAATTGACGATTATAGTCGAATTTTACAAATGATATAAAACTGAAGTCAGTTTGACCCATCAGTTTTACTTTGAAAAGGTGATTTGTTTTTTCGTGGCACATTGATGTCAGCACGAATTTAACATCGACCAGTGAGACTTGATTTTAAGTAAATCTTTTTTAAATGAAATTGGTTTTTACTGTTTGTGTAAAACAATTTTTTCGCATCGAAAGAAGGCTACCCGTGCTAATTTGTTTAAATTTTATTTTGTGAGACTCAATAATGAGTAACTTTATTCTTCTGTTTGATACTCAGCCTTGTAATGTCAGGCTATCAAGGACTTACAGTGGGCCTATTTTTAAATAGGATAAAAGTCGAGGAGTATGTTGTGCAATTATTATTTCATTTGTTAATTTATTTTCTCGATTTTTTCTTGTTAGATTTTTATTCTAACTGCTCCTCTATCAGATCAAAGGTATTTTCAATCATTGCAAATGCTTTATTTTCCTGTTGAGACAATTTATCTATATAGTACGACCTGAAATCCCATCAACCCCTCAATTTTAACTATATCTTGACTTTCCTAACTAAATTTTAAACATTGACCCCAGACGAAATGAATAATTAAATGCTAGCAATGGTCTACGCTTAAGTGTTCTTTTCATTGAAAGGAGCTAATTAGTACTCACTGATCAATTGCTGCAAAATAATTTAAACTTCGTAATCTAAGTTTTTTGCGTATCAGCATTGTGCTTATTGCTCAAAGGAGACTTTTTTCGGATTAGTGTCTTATAAACAGTCTAATCGGAGAAAGATTCATTTAAACTTATCGCACCGAGAGGGTTTTAAAGTACCATTACCTATCATACATTTATCGTATTCTTCAAAGCTTCTCTCAAAATTCAGAATGTGCGTATCAGATTTTTTTTTGGTATGACATTTTTTAAAAGTGGTCTCTTATAACACCAGTTAGTCTTGCTCTCTTGCATATATTGGTGAAAACAACTCAGAATGCCTGTACATTTAGCAAGATTTTAATCTGCCGCGTCACTGAAACTAACAAGTGTCATGGAGCAAAACAGATGAATCGGGCAAAGAATCCTCATCAGTGCATCTTTTCTCTTCTCCAATCTGGAAATCCTTCAGATCAGACGAAGATGAAGGAGAACTGAAACCACGAAATATTTTTCCCCGTGTGCTCTCCGTGTTAAAGTGTTTAGTTTGAAGAAGAGACCCTCAGAAATAGAAAAATTTATACATCCACTAGTTAAATGTTGGAAACCAAAAACTTAATGTCACAGTACAACGATGGTTTTTTTACATGCATATAGCGACATTTTGTAGAGAATCTCCTCGTAGTAATATCATATATGTAACAAGAATCTCTGTTCAAGAACAGTAATGCTTTTAAATTAAAAGTCAATGCTTCATGTGTAGAAGCACCGGAAAAAATTGCTCGATTTGCAAACTTAGAAAAAAAGAAGAATAAGCTGTTTTGTTTGTTACAAATCATACATCCATTAACTCTGTAATTATTCTACAACATATGGCTCAAGTTGAATGTCAATTTGATTATGATCCCTACATGAATCAAAGTTAGCTAGTGATTGTTCAACCAAAAACTGTTTGAGGACATCTTCAGGTTCCCTATCCACGAGCCTAACAGCTGGACTGAAATTGAAGTATACGTTTTTAAACTATAGATATCCTGCAAGACTCAAAATACAGCTTTCTTATACTCGACTCGTTGCTGTCCTTATGATGGCACATAATGCTGGAATAATTGCCCCAATTGATGGATGTCAGCAAAATTCAGTTTTTTGTTGTTCTTTTTTTCTGATATTGAGAAAGAAAAGCAATTTTAGGGTTCTTGCCCCCCCCCTCCCTAAAAAAAAATAACACATCTCATCTAATAAAAGCGCAGTAATCATAACATTACACCCGAATTGAAGTCATATAATATGAAAGCGTCTTACTTTCAGTGAATCAGTACTTTTAAAAATGGCGGAAGTCTACTTTGCAAAATCCTGTATGATCTCTCCGGTCGTCTTTGCCATATTTTCCGACAAAGCAGCTGTAGTCCGCTACTTAGAACGCGAGTAACTGATGCGCAGGAAGGCAAATGTCTAGTAAAAAAAGCGTCAAAAATTAAATTAATAAAAGAAAAAAAAAAGATTTTGAAAAATTGGACGTCTGCCCTTTTTAAAAGCCCTGGTCCAATCGTAACAAGCCATCGTTTTAGGCAGTAGCCAGAAATTAAAGTTACATTATAAAACTGTACGTTCAGTGAACTGTACCCTGTCTTTAAGTAGAGTTTACCTTATTTCTGTTCCTTCTGCGTCTCAAGACTTTCATAATTCATTGTATTTTAGGTTTATACATTCCTTTGCATTTTAATTGAATGAAAGATAATTTACACGAAAAAACGCATTTATCTCTATTTAGTGGAGAGTTCATGTTTCCCAATTAAGCACCTTTAATCCTCATCTAAATTGTAGCCGAATGACTTTTAAGATCATCGTGCCGTCCAAGTGTGTCAGGAGTTCCTGTTCTCGTAACTGTATTTGGGACAGAGGCTAATTTTTATTTAGATTATTCCTCTCAAAAATGTCTTAACATTTAAAATTACTTAGAAATCAAGTTTAATGAGCGCTGTGATGAAATATAGTATTTATCGAGCATTGTAAGGAATTGTTGCACCCAGTGTTTAGTCGTTTACTCTTCGATAGCTCTCAATTTATTTTTAGCATCACTTTTTAGGCAGGCTCTAAATTCACGACATTTAATTCAAACCTAGAAAATAAGACTGTTTTGTTTAGTCTGCCGTCATGAATCGCACATTTGCTTTATGACATTCATTTCGATAATTGTCTTAATTTTATTTTTTCATATTTATTCAGTTTTTCAAAGAATCTGTGCATTTCCCCCTTCCTCTCCTTCATTAAAATCAACCAAATATCAGTCGTGCTGTGATATAAATTGTATTTCCACTGTATTGCATTTGAATTCAGATACTTATTCTACTTGTAAGCGATGAATCATCACAGTATTACGTACACATTTTAAGATAACAGCGTTTTTCTGTCCTCTCAAGTTTAGAGATCCTTCTCTTTCAAAAATGTTGAATTTTATTTTCAAATGGATTTTCCATTTTCCCCTCTCCCCAGAAAAGTGGGTAAGAATATTAGCTGTGAACATTCACATGCTAAGGTACCATACTCGCTGGTTTTGAATAGTATATTTCGAGCTTCCCTCCATATACAGAGGAAAATTAGCCTTTTCTTAAGACTTAAATTTATTTGATCTGACTAAGTTATCAGATTTACTTAAGTGTTTTTGATTGATGAGTCTCATGCCGCATGGTGCAACTCAATATGGTGTCTTTGTTGAGGCAGTCTACTAATTAGAGTGTTGATTTTATGTAATGTTGCTATATTGAATATAGTGTATCACATTCCATTTATTTTATTCCCTCGGACGTGAAACTTAGATCCGACAGTATGTTAAATTTTTAAAATTTTATTTTTAAGTAGTATTTTGTACAGTGAATTTGTGAATTTACCCTTCATGCATTAAAGTTTTGTTCTTGTTTTCTGTAAACATTGCATTTTTAAATTTGTCATCCAGTTTTTGTCTTCCTCCCCGTGTGGTCCGTTTCAGAGAAGCATTCCCTTCTTCGATTATTTTTTTTTCTACTTATGGACCGATGATCAAATATGGGAATGATTTCGTAAAATGAACTCTAGAAATTATTGGTTCAATTTGCTAAAAAGCTCCAAAATTTGCTCAACTAACACAAGAAGAAACGCGTCTCAGGCTCTGTAATATAAAAGCATAACGCCTGACGCGCGTAGCGCTTCGCCGGATCGGACCGGGAAGCGGTCAAGGGGCACAGCACCCTCGTAAAAGAATATTTTCATATAAATTAAGCTCGATTAAAGTGAAATGATAAGGCGGTATCAGTTAAGACTCAAGGCTTGGCATGGTGGAGGCATGTTTTTGTGCAATGAAAGTAATTTGAGACTGACATGCCACCCAGTTGAACGAGTGGATAACCAAGGATTTTGAACTGAAAATTTCTGATCCTATTTTTAAAAATTTACAGAAATACAAATACATGAAGAGAATGTGATTTCATCGAAACAACTGACAATGAGCACCCTACCACGTTTGATTTCTTTGTTGGGAAATATATTACACTGGGAAAAAAAAACACATTGTATCTAGAGTCCAGACTTTTGAAAACATTGACAAAAAAAAGACTCATGATTCAAGCAGATTTAAGCTTAAATCAAGAGGAATTTTATAAAATCAAAAGAAAACGCACCGTAACTTTTGCTTAAAATTTCACAGAATATTGTTCACAACTTCACACAGAGAAAAAAAAAAGCAGGAAACTTTCCGAGAAAAGTCGTTGGGTATTGTTTCATTCAACAAGTAAATTTTAACAGTAACTCTGTGACGTTGCACACCGTGACACACGCTTTTGCAACGACGCACAGGGGATCGAGTCAATAGGAGCGGTCGGATAAAATTTGGCGAGTGTAAACGCTTATACCTAAGTTTATACTTAAGCTATGAGGTTCCAAAATTGGTTTTCTCGTGTAGTTTTCCTCTAGCAGCATTCCTTAAAATTTAAAATGTGACGAAATAAACATCAAAGTTTGCAGTTTTAGTCAAAAATTTCATGTCCAACCTTTCTGATCGACTCGATCCACTGTGCGACGTGCTGATGTGTGAACATACATACTTTACCGAGAGAAGTAGGCCTCGATAAAACGGTTTACTAAAATAATGAACCACTGAGTCTCAGTTCGAAAATTTAAATCGACGGTGAAATTCCCGAGGCACGTATCTCGTTTGCGGTATTTTTAAAATCTCCGGTCCCATTTTTGTTCCGAGGGAAAACAAATCAAGTGCATTCCTTGAAGTTTTCTCAGAAATTTCGTCGCTCAGAGAAGAAAAATCACGAAAGTGTTTGAGGAAAGCAGTCAATTGGTTTTCCATAAAAAAAAGCGTGACAAGAAGTCTGCAACGACGTAAACCGAGACACTTGGTTTGGGACTTTCACCGTCGAAATTCAATAACGGCTAAACTTCATTCGGCTTACAAGATCTTGCCATGAAGCCGAGTGTTTTTTCCCCGTGCATTGCAACCGCTCAAAATTAGGTTCGAGAAAAGTATCTGTATTTGTTTTATTTTTGAGGAAGTTTACGTATCATCTCACTTAAACATCAAGAAGTCAATGAATACATCAATCCGACAAAGCATAATGACCCAGAAAGATGAATATGAAGAGGTATGAAGTACCTCACAATTTAAAGCTGAAATCGGGAAAATTGTCTCCTATCATCATAATTTACGAGTATACTCGTAAGATTTTTTCAAAAGGATCAAATTTCATCTGGAAACTTTTAAACGTCTAGTCTCAAAAAATCTGAACATTAAAATAGGTGGCTAAAAGTCTCGAGGTTAAAAATGTTGAACTGTGAAAAAAATCCTTTTAGGACAACTGATGGACTTACAGGACAAGGCGCATAAGTGCAGTTTTCGAAAAAGCTGAAATATTAATGATTTTAAGTAAAACTAGTCTTAATGCATATGCTGTGAAAAATTCGCTCCCAAATTCCAATTATTAAGCGTCAAAAAGACAGTTTGAACTTTCTTTTCACCATAAGGATCCATGTAATTTCGAAACTTTAATCACGTATTTCTCGAAATAGCAAAAACTGCACTTATGCACCTTGTCCTCCAAGCCCCTCAACTCTTTCTATTCAATTGATTAGAGCTATTCAGCCTTAATATGTCCTTCATTTTCACCATACTGTGTTTGATTTGATCAAGTGAAATTTCCTACCTGCTCATGTGTGTATGTTCAAGGTTTACGATATTTTAATCGTAAGCGTTGTTGGCTTTAAGTCATGCACACTTTAAGCGAAAAGGAGCCAAATTGACTTATTGAAAAACAATGGACCTAATTACACAAGTTGGTTATCATCGTTTAAGCTGAGGAGACTTGGGACTCTATCTCGGCAAGAGCAGTCGAATTCCTTTCACCAAAAATCTATCCATGCGAAGAAATAGGTAGAAATTCGTCCAGAAACGAGTCCTAAATATTATATCCTAAATCGCAGTTCGCTTGATGTTAATTCTTACCAAGATCTAGGGTTAACATAGCTTATTAAAAGAATTAACATCCTTTGTTCCGGCTTGCGTGGACGAGGTTTGGTTGAGTGGGTAGGTATCTCGATTCTCGATTGGTTATTTATTGGAAAAACAAGAGTTTAGGCTTTTTGGAGAGGTGTTTTTCAAACTTAATAATTACTAAACCTTCAATCTCAGTCGCAAACTTTCTAGTCATTAGGCCTTGATCCTTAAAGCCTTGATGCGCCTGAAACAAACAATGACCACGCCATCTTCACAATATAAGGTTGGAACCTGGAACCATCCCGTCTGAATGGTTGATGCAAAAACTACATTTTACCCATTGAATGCATAATAGAGAAACTAAATATTTCCGTACACAAGTCGGTACAATGAAAGAGGATGCAGCTCTAGGTTTATGTAAGAATTGCTAGCTCTATGATTAGGTAAGCCAGAGTTCGATACTCGGCTAGATGTCCCAGGTGTGTTGCTCTCAGGTAAAAATCAAGTCCAGAAAATCCACTGAAAGGGAGGAATAACATTCGCAGGTCTCCTGCTAGTTGGTATTTTTATACGTGTACATACTTACGATTCTCATAGCGCCTTCAAATTCAGACACTGCAATACATCTTTCAGACGTTATCTGTTCATTCCATTGCCATTGAAGGCAAAAAAGTTGTCAGTGATGAAAGCACGGCCGCACGGCGGCACGGCGAATGGTTGTGAGCAAGTTCCTCCTGCAGACAATAAAGGTGGTGACTCGAAACGCCAGCACAATGTGTTGCCGCCGAAAAAATTGAAGGCGCTTTGAAAATGTTTTGTATCTGTATGTGCTCAACATTGCACAACCATTTCCACATCATATCATACTCATACCTAGCTGTACACTCCTACTCATTGATGAATTTTTTTATTTCCACATTCATGTTATTTTAATAGTACCTATGTTTTCCGCTCTTTCTTTGAAGCACCCCACTTTCAATTGAAACTTTTACATTATTTCTAGAGTGTAACATTGATAAAGCGTATAATTAAATTTTCGTTTCATCCATTTTACTTATTAAATCTCTTCCTGTTTCTAGAAAGAAAGTTCCTCACACTACAGTCTTCTTAGTGATAATTTTAAATACTTATGCGATTTATTCAACAAATTTTCGAAAAAGCGTTATCAGCTCTAAGGAACTCAAGCCGAAGGCTCATCAGTCAGAATTGTGACAAGGAAGGTATGATGTACGTCTGGATTCATTACACAAATTTTCGTACTGTCCACAGATTTTTACTCCGTCCATTTTTCATTCATACTCCTGCTATATCTTCAGAAAAAAAGTTGTTACGAAGTTGTCGCAACAGTCCCTTGTCTTGCTCCTATTATTTAAAATCAAATTGAAAGTGCGTCTGTAAAACTGAGTCGAAAATAATAAGATATCAAACAGATAATTACTGACCAGGGGACAAGTATAAAAGAAAGAAAAAGTATAAAATGTTGATATAAAGCCTCTTTTGGCCTGCTTTCTTTTGTATATCTTTGTTTCTTCTGTGCATGGGTCGGCTCATGGGGAAGAAAGACGGTGGATCTAAAGATTGGTTTTGCAGTGGCGTGACGTGTTTTGCGATACATCGATTGATATGCCATTTAAACCAATGGAGAACGATCGATAGAGAGAATATTCGCAACGAACACCTTGATAATCGATTCCTTACAATAGCTTCAAATAGGGGAAAATCGATAATCGATCACTCACGCCTCGCCACTGTGGTATTGGTCAGTAAGAATCGAGCGATATTTCTCAATTCTGAGATGTTTCCACACATTCTGTGACCATGGCAGCACGAGACAAATAATTTCCCTCATAAGAGATACAATTAAATACGTATGGGGGGTTGTCATGCACTTTATTAACATTCAGGATGTTAGAATAGCTCTTCATTGTAGGTGCGTCAAATAAAGTAACACCTACAGCTGCACTTTAAACCCTCAACATGTAGTGTCTCCACATCTTCAATCGAATCAAAAACTTCTACTGTAAGTATCTGATGGAGCCAATATTTCTTTTAACACATGTTTCAAAACTGAGGATCACCTTGAACCACAATATATAATTCCTTATTTGAGTAGTCCGCTAAAGCCGTTGTAGTGCGCAATTTGACTCGCGCATGGTTTCGTTTGTCTTGTTACCGGGCAATTCAAATTTCCCGTAACTGGCACACAATAAAAACGTACATATCCTAGCTAGAAGTTGAATTAAGTAGTTTTCGTCGCGCGAATCGATTTTTACGTGGAATTCTGGTGAAGAATCATGTATCAGAGTGCTTAAATTCGTACCTTGTTTAGCGGTCCATTCAATCTAAAATAGCGAACATACAGAACTATACTAACTTCTCTCAGAGAAAATATTTTATCGGGAGGAACGAGGCAACTTTGGAGCGCTCATACGGCGTCGAATCACAATATGGGC